GTTTTGGCAAGAATCCACTCCTATCATGTCTCGTTCTGGCTGCATTATGGGCTACGCCAACAGCCATCAAAATAATGCACTCTGCTGCTGAATTGAAGTTCTTGGGCCACGGGGGGGTCGGATAAGTAACCTTGCTTACTCGACCCCTCCCCCTGAAAGCCACACCTCCGTGAATATCCCAATAATATCCCGTACAACCYCCCCCCCTGGGGCACCCCCGAAAAAAAAAAAAAATGGACCTTCAAAATTTATTACGGATTTCGACAGCTCTTGATGAAGAGCGCAGTCAGAATCCACCACAAAAAAAAAAGAAAAAGAATTGGGCTTTCTTTTTAAAAAAAACGATTTCCCGGTTCACCCCCCCTGGTCTGGTCCGGCTCCGGTTGGACCGGGCAAGCTGAATCGGCTGGTTGCCAGCCCAGCCTTGCAGCAGGGGATATTTAAAATGTTCTGCATTTTAAGTTCTGCTCTGCACCTGTCTCTTATACACATCTAGATGTGTATAAGAGACAGGTTCTGCATTTTAAGTTCTGCTCTGACAATTTAATAATTTGCCAACCTTCGTCAAGTTTCACCTGGAGTAATTTGCAACTCTGCTCTGACACTTTAATAATTTGCCAACCTTCGTCAAGTTTCACCTGGAGTAATTTGCAACTCTGCTCTGACAATTTAATAATTTGCCAACCTTCGTCAAGTTTCACCTGGAGTAATTTGCAACTCTGTTCTGACAAGTTAATAATTTACTTTTTCACTTCTGAGTTCTGCCATTCGGTATACTTCTACATTTTTTTTTTTAACCTTCATCAAGTACGCAGTGCTCATGACATTAACGCTGTGATGCAGATCGTAGTCGAGGCCGAGGTCACTGAGGTGAAAGTGGAGGTCTAGACAAACGTAGAAGACGGCCTGTGAGATCGGCCGAGCACGAGGAGGCAAGACACGCTGATGGTTGTGCACTGTGGAACTGAACATGCAAGATGCATTTTCTCTGTTATATAAAAACCCCACTACATGACCTGTTGCGGCTTCCTCCGAAATAAAAAATATGATGTGCGCTACATTTTTGGCTGAAGGATACCCAGGATGGTTTACCAAAAAGGATGGGAGTTCGGGAAGCATGGAGAGGGAGGGAGAGAGAGAAAGAGAGAGACCCACAGGACGGCCAAAGACAGACCCAAGACCACAGACACAAACCAAGACAGCCATACCCTGGCCCTCTGACGCAGAGCGAGAGCCCAGACACGGATCCTTCATCTGGACCGCAGACCTAGAGCCCCAACCACAGTCCCCAGACCCAGTCCCAAACGTTGACCATCACCTGGACCCCATACCCATACCTGAGGAAGAAAGGACGGCGCCAAACGCGCATCGACGCCGCACCAGAACCAGACCCCACAAAACGACAAAGACCCAGATCTGGGCTGCAGCCCAGACCCCAAAATCACTGTGTCACTATGGTATGGAATGTACGTTAGCACGGCCGTAGTACGCCCCATAGGACAAACATATTTTTGTTTGTATGGTTGTACAAAAGTATGGGTTCTCTTTTTCTTTTATCAACTTTTTTCGGTCTTGATATTTTAATCTCAAGGTGACGAGGACACGACTCGAGCGCTGACATTCCGAGAGAGCATAGAGCTCTGTGAGTGAGGGAGGGGATGCGATAAGACCAGACGCGGAGAAACGACTTGACTTCCTCGCCGTATGTTCTGTGATCATTCAGGGATGGGGATCGGTATCTGACAGGGCGGGGGAGAGAGCGACAGAGTGTCCAGATTCAACGTAATGCTGTACATGATCCAGACACCAAGTGATGTTAACAAAAACAGAAAAGAATCCGAGAGGAAAGAACGGGGAAGGACTTCTGGGCAAAGGGGTTACTGGCAGTCAGGACAAGGGTTCCCTTTGCCGAATTACAAATCACAGCATTGTCTGCAGAAATGAGAAAGCATCAGTTTGAGGAGAGCAAGCAGGCCATGGTGGCCGAAAGGCCTGGGTTGAGTTGAGTCTGGGTACACCAGGTCATGGATGTACTTCTAGTAACACATTCCATGCTGGGGTGGGGTGAAATGTCCCTTAAGGGGCTTCACTTTCATCCCAGCTCACTTTTCCGATTGCTCAAGTGTTCTGCCTCTTTGGCAGAAAGTCTTAGGTTCGATTCCTAGTGGGTTGATCTTGGGATTCTTGTGTATTTGCAAGAGGGTTTGGACAATGGTGAGGGCGCCAACATTACGGCGAGTCAGCAGGGGAGAGATGGTGCAGATTCATTAACGCATATTAATACAATCGGTCGGGGTCTGGGTTTGGGGTTGGGATTGGGGGTGTAAATCTGGGGTCATATTGGGAAGAAGAGAACGAGAAAACGGGATATACCGAAGTTACGCAGCAAAGACAATGGGCGAGGAGACTTAATTAAAAAAGATCACAGCTTTGCTGTCAAAAGCCTGCCCTTTCCCGGAGCTTTGAACTCTACATGTCTTCGCCCTAGTACATAGTCATGACAATGAGATGACGTCATCAAGAAGCCACAGCAAAGAAACAAAAACAAAAACTTGGAGTGATGATTGTCGGCAGGTGGGAAAAGAAAAAAGGCTCTCTTCTCGTTGACTGATCAATGGGCATACAGATGATACAGGACATTAGGGACTGTTTGGGTTCTGGCTAGGCCCTTGCATAAACATAGAGGACCTCATCCATCGTCTTTGACATTGCCGTCACGGAACTGCAACCATCTGTCCATTCTGGTAGTTAGACTTTGAACGGATGTCCGCTTTTCTGCCCAATGGCCAGGCTGTGGTGAAAAGACTCAAGACTCAAAACCCTTGTCTGCACTTGTTTTATCCAAGAAGTGCCCTATCAATCTTTCAAGAAATTCTTTGTGGGTCTAAACCCTAAAACCCCTAAACCCTAATATTTGCCCATTCTCCTATCTGATGGCCTTAACCAGCAGCACATACTTCTTTCAGTGACCATGGCTTGGCATCACCACCAAGACATAAGGGGTTGCCAGTGTGACTTGCCTGTCTTTGGTCACTGGAGCGACTGAGCGGTATGTTACTATGTTTGCACTTTGGCAGTTCACATCGGCAGGTTTTCATCCCAATTACCATCATCATACGTAGGGGGCATCTTCATTTTCACTTTTCACTTTCTGCTCGTTGCCTTTTTTTCTCGGGTTCTGCCTTAGGAGAACCTTAATCACCCCTGGACTGTCCGGGGGAATTGGCCAGGGACTGGGGTCTTTCTTCTCTCCAGGGTCTTTCTTCAATTCAGCATCTTCTTTCTCACTTGAACTATACTAGACACATCCTTGCATCTCTGTATCAGGAATTACTCCATTGCATCTCCCATCAGTTCGTTTTTGGTTTCTCCTACTTTGCTGGTTCCACTTTGCCTTTTCTCTTCATTGCACCTCTAAGTGCAACTAGCTCAACGACGCAAAGAGTCATTGCTTGTTTTTCTTTCAGGATCTCATCCACTTTGTTCCGAATGTATGACAAGGATGTGGCCCATGTGGGCAACGTTTCTTGTAGCGGCTGCTTTGAATCTTTTGGTTTTAGGGTTGCAATCTCTGACGGATAAGACAGAGTGTGCAGGAAGCACAGACAAATTCCTTCTGTTTCTTATTTCTTCACCGAGTCACTCTTCTGCCTCCTCCTCAGCCCCCTCCCCCCCCTCCATTCTCGGTTTTCCTCCTCCTCAAACTCTTCCCCCCTTCTCTCAGTTTTGTCCTCTTCCTCAGGATTTTATTTTTTTCAAACTGTCAGTTATACCTTGCATATCTCGGTCACTTGTGGCTCTCAAGATTGCCTCTCTCCTTATGGACCACTTGCCTGACCCAAAAAAAAATTATGAGAGAGTTCTGTGGGCTAATGCCTTGCCAGCACATTAGAAAAAAACGACCACAGCAGTGCGAACTCATCCCCAGTAAATTCATACCTCACAGTTAAAAGTTAAAACTTAAGAGCTAGGTTACCAGTCGTCCGATGGCCGGACGTCTCCCCCAACCGTCCGGTAGGGGGGTTGTCCGGGATCCCGGACAACCACTTTTTGGCATTAAAAAAAAATAAAATAAAAAAAAACTATGACAGTGTTGCGCATGCCATAGAGACCCCCCATAAAAAAATTCAGAATTTTCTGAGCATTTGGTGATAGGGTGCTATTTGGGGTGGGAGGGGGGGGTACGAGGGGGTTTGGTGGGGATAGGAAGGGTATAGGTGGGGATTAGAAACTTTGAAGATTTTTATATTTTTTTCTACTGGCTCAAATGAGCCAAAATTTTGGTGGCATACACCTTATGCAAGGTAGAAGCCACATGATTTTTTTCTTTTTTTTTTTTTTTCTTTTTTTTTTTTTTTTTTTTTTTTTTTTTTTTTGCGCTAGGTCGGACAACCCTTGTCCGGTCCGAGACCGTCCGACGTCCGGTCGGACAACCCAGGGGTCCCGGACGTCCGGTAAAACAACCTAGCTTAAAAGTTAAAACTTAAAACTTAAAACACACCCAGCACTTGTCACCATCAAGGTTGGCCCTCCCCCCCCCTATGGGAGCATTTGGCGGACCCGGAAAATTAGGAGACAGTGTATAAGGGCTATGGGCGAATGCCTTGCATTCTCCTAAGGGATATATATTGCAGACCCCTAAGGCTTTCTTTTTTTTTGCAGACCCCTAAGGGCTAATGCCTTGCAGACCCCTAAGAGCTAATGCCTTACAGACTCCTAAAGCACCAGTACATGCCAGCTATCGGCCACGGGCCCCTTTCGGAGGCCGACCACCACCGATTCATTTTATCTACGGCTGGCGCTCCGCCTCCTAAATTTTTGGAGAGGCTCAAAACAGGTTCTCCAGTTGACTGGGGCCATGTACTGCTGGTTTAAGAGCTAATGCCTTGTAGACTCCTAAGGGCTAATGCCTTGCAGACTCCCAAGGGTTAATGCCCTGCAGACTCCTTGTAAGAAAAAAAGACCAGAGCAGTGGGAAATCATCCTCCTTGAGTCCATACCTCATGGTTAAAACACACCCAGTACTTGTCACCATCAAGGTCACTTCCTGCCATCTGGTCGGTGATGGACCGAGGTCCTTGAGTTGAGAAAATGATGCAATATCTGCCAGCACCAATTCCAAGGTCTCTTATGATTCCATAATCTGCAGTTGCCTTCATCTTCTTCATGTCCTCCGGGTGGTATCCGGGGTGCTTGTAAACCAGCACATCACACCCAGCAACTGGTCCATCCTTCCTGTAAGGTCACCAAGGAATAACCATGAGTCACGATAAACAGATATATTCCCATGATCGCGCTTACACACTGCTGAAATCACCAAAGAGAGCACTGCCGCAAACCACTACTACAGCAATTGTGCAAAGAAGTGACACAAACATTTCATATGTGGCCTACCTGGCCTGAATTGTAGGTTTTAGTACCGTTTTACTGTTATCTCAGGTTTGTGTTTCGGCGAGGTTTTTGCATCACCATCTTGATAAAAACAATAAAGAGTCACTTGCCCGTATTAACGCAGCTGAGGCTGTTCCGCTCTATGCAAGAGTCACTTTTGTACTGAGGAGTTCTTCCACTTTCTATAGTTAACCCGTACATTAGCAGGGTGGTGAACAAAGTGTGGCCCATGTGGAGGAGACCTGATTTGGTAGTGCCAAATTGCCAATCTCCATAAATTCAAAATTTCAAAGAGGCTTCAATATGGACAAGAACATATGCTCCAAATGGTTGAGAGCCCAAAAAAGATATCCACGGCAGAATGAAACCTTTCTGGACATTTCTGAAAAGCGCATCTTTGAAGAAACAAGTTTATTAAGGAGACTGCAGGGAAACAATAGTGGATTAGGGACCACCAGCGCCGTCGGGTTAGCGCTCCGCTACTGCGACATAGCGCTCCGCTACTGCGACATCACCGCACGCCACCGTGCCATCGTCGCGCGCGCCGAGTGCAAGTAAAGCCGTGAGCCACTCACGCGGGTCACCGTGACGCTGCCAGGCACGCGGAGGGGAACGAGAGAGAGAGGACAAGAGAGAGAGAGAGAGAGAGAGAGAGAGAGAG